ACAGGGAACACCACCCTAACATGAAACACAGGGAACACCACCCTAACATGAAACACAGGGAACACCACCCTAACATGAAACACAGGGAACACCACCCTAACATGAAACACAGGGAACACCACCCTAACATGAAGCACAGGGAACACCACCCTAACATGAAACACAGGGAACACCACCCTAACATGAAACACAGGGAACACCTCCCTAACACGAAACACAGGGAACACCACCCTAACATGAAACACAGGGAACAACACCCTAACATGAACCATTCCTTTTATCATACAGGGTTTTCCAAGGTGTCTAGAAGACAATCCAGAAAACCACTTCCTCCAACGCCAGATGAGGTCTTTGTTCAGCATACTAACTCGTACTTTCACTTAGATGATTACCTGTGTATCACCTGTCTTAATCATTGATGTTTCCTGATGTCTTTTTCAGAAGAAACCTGTCAGGCAATTACCTCCACAACCTAGCGAACAGCCAGCACTCTCCACAGGCATGACAGTGATCGCTGAGTATGCATACATTCCTGGCACTGAGCAGGATCTGGAGCTGAGGAAGGATGAGGAATACACCATTCTAGAGATGTCTGATGCCAACTGGTGGAAGGCTCGTGACAAATATGGGTGAGAAGTCCAATGTTTCACCAGATGCTCCTCAAAGTGTTAGATATTCAGAACGCTACACTAGATATCTGTTGATAAAATCCCAGGACATTGAGGAAGACATTTCCCTGGTTAGAATGATGTCTTTCAGATGAGATGGTAAAATGATTAAAGGCTCTCTGTGGTCAAGAAAGATCCTATGGAGTTTATAGAACCATGTGATTAGAGTAGCTGTGTTAACCCTGGTGTTCTAGAGTTATAGAACCATGAGATTAGAGTAGCTGTGTTAACCCTGGTGTTCTAGTGTTATAGAACCATGGGATTAGAGTAGCTGTGTTAACCCTGTTGTTCTAGAGTTATAGAACCATGTGTTTAGAGTAGCTGTGTTAACCCTGGTGTTCTAGAGTTATAGAACCATGAGATTAGAGTAGCTGTGTTAACCCTTGTGTTCTAGTGTTATAGAACCATGAGATTAGAGTAGCTGTGTTAACCCTGGTGTTTTAGATTTATAGAACCATGTGTTTAGAGTAGCTGTGTTAACCCTGGTGTCATAGAGTTATAGAACCATGTGATTAGAGTAGCTGTGTTAACCCTGGTGTTCTAGAGTTATAGAACCATGTGATTAGAGTAGCTGTGTTAACCCTGGTGTTCTAGTGTTATAGAACCATGTGTTTAGAGTAGCTGTGTTAACCCTGGTGTTCTAGAGTTATAGAACCATGTGTTTAGAGTAGCTGTGTTAACCCTGGTGTTCTAGAGTTATAGAACCATGAGATTAGAGTAGCTGTGTTAACCCTGGTGTTCTAGAGTTATAGAACCATGTGATTAGAGTAGCTGTGTTAACCCTGGTGTTCTAGTGTTATAGAACCATGTGATTAGAGTAGCTGTGTTAACCCCGGTGTTCTAGAGTTATAGAACCACGTGATTAGAGTAGCTGTGTTAACCCTGGTGTTCTAGTATTATAGAACCACGTGTTTAGAGTAGCTGCACTAGATGGACAAAAACGGTGTCAAAACGTGCGTCCCGAACTCTATTGTTTTTTAGAACATTCACTTTTGTAGTTCATTAAATATTAACGATATTGTCGCAATTTAATTTCCATTACAATACATTGACGGAACGTTCAAGAATAGTGTGTGTGAGTGCTGCTACAGTTTCAAGTCTATACACACAAATGGCATATCAAAATGTCCAGCTTTTCGTGCTGTCACTAAATATGTCCAAATATAAGCTGTAACATAAATAGTTATTACGTTATGTCTGTTTGTTTCCAACTAGCGCCTCCCTATAGACGGCCATTGTAAACCTTTGAATCCAGCCTCTAGAAATGAGTTGTATAGTATTGACATATTGTTAGTATAGCCAGGCAACAGCCACAAACATTAGCTACAGCACCTGCTGTATGTTGAATGTGTAAGCTCTGACTGGGCAGTTTACACTCAAAACATCTAATGTATCATCTAAAAAACATCTGCTGTATGTTTAGGCTCACACTCAAACAACTGACTTTGTGCATGTTAGCGCGCTAGTTAGCTAGCTACTCCTGTATGTGTGTGCATTAGGGTTGCCACCTGTCCCGGTTTTACCGGGATTGTCCTTGTTTTTAATGTCCTGTCCCGGGAAATTTATCCACTCTCCCGGGACACTGAATGTCCCGGTTTTCGAAAGGCTACGTGAATGTGTATGTTCTGTTTAATATTTTCGCACTTGAAATAGCCTATGCATTGTGCACAGAGTGGTCAGTGTCACTTGTGTGTGTGTAGAATGCGTTATCATTGGCTCTGGGATGGGTGTGACGTGTGACGTAGGCTACGTCATCTAGGGCGTCTGTCTTCTTGGCTTCTTACTACAGGCGGCAAATTGACCCTTCGCTAAGCCACGCCCGAAAACCGCCACAGGCCAATCGTGTTTTAGCAACCGTAACTAGGCGCAGGAGGTCTGTCAAGCTTTCGAGCAAGGGAAACATGCCAACGCGTTGTGCTTATGGATTGTGTAAATCTGATACTCGATATCCTAAAAGTTTGGACGGGGAGGTGAAATGTTTTACTTTCTCAAAACCTAAACCCCAAGGGGAGAAATGCCGGGCGTGGACGGAGGCTCACTGACATACTTTAAAATACTCGTGAGTACCCTAATACGATCGCGGCTCTCCCGGTATTTAGGTCTAAGGACGGAATATCAGGGGGCTTGCCGGAGATCTCCAAGGAAAAGGTTGGTATGCGAACTTAATCAGTTCATTAACAGTACAGTAGTCATGTGCTCACTATAGGTACACTTTATTTGGGCAGCGAGATGTATTACAGAACACACATGCTCTACGCTTTATACTTTATATTGGTCTCCGCATACGTTTTATTTTTATATAGCGACAACTACCGATGATATGTCAGCAGTAGCCTGGCGCGCTAAAAAATATAAGCGGTAGAATGTTAGCATTGTAAAGTGGTCAAGCAAATGGCTTATTCCACAAGATGTGTGGATAAGCTGCTTGATTTACAATTATTAGATTATATTCACTTACCTGTTGTGCATGAACATAGCTGTTCCTCAATTTGTGTGTTTCCCACTTGAATGGTTAGCGTATGAGGCAGCTGCTGCTTGCACTGGGACCTAGGCTTTAGTTTCAATTTTAAAGACGTTATTGTAATGAACGCCCCAGAGACCGAGAGATGTTTCCAATCGCGACTGCGCGATGTAGATTTAATGCAACACATAGCAATAGGCAAGAGAATGGTCGTGCGGGCAGGGGTCGTATTCGGGCAGGCAGAGTCCGTACACGGTACCGGAGGGACGGGCGTAGACAGGAACGTGGGCAGGCCAGGTGCGTTAAAAACACAGGTGAATTCGATCTGGCCTGATCTCCTCTATTCGCCTGCGGGGGGAGTGTCCCCTGTACCATAGAGGGGAGCAGACTTCTGGTTCTGACAGTTATTCTCTAATCGGTTGCATTTTATGTTGTGGATATATCGATAGAATGCATACTGCAGACCCTTTTGTCTTGCTCTTTCAGATATTTCACCTGTTCGCCAAAAATGACTAAATATCTCATTGGGAATGTCTGACACCGGTGCATACATACTGCAATAGACGTGCCAGGCTCGAAAGCTTGACAGGCAGGCAACAGTAACTAAGGAGGGCGTGGCTTAGCGAAGGGTCAATTGAAGCAGTGAGGAATATTTTACATTTGTTAGTATATTTATTTCTTTAGCAAAGAGGAAGCAGAAGCAAGCACAAACAGTATCAGTATCTAAGCAATCAGGTACGCTATAAGTTAAGTAAGATAAGTGTGAGAATACTTGAGATGTTTAAAATATACACGAGTCACGACTATGCACAATCTTACTGCACAAAGGCCAATTTTGTCTTGTGGGTCTAATGTCTTAATGGACATTTTCACTTGTGAGCAAAGCGGTTGGTCAGGTCATCGCAATGTCCAGGTTTTTATCAGACATAGGTGGCAACCCTATTGTGCATACATTCAAACAACTAACGTTAGCATGTTAGCGCGCTAGTTAGCTAGCTACTCCTGTATGTGTATGCATACATTTAAACAACTAACGTTAGCATGTTAGGGCGTTAGCTACTCCTGAATGTGTAGGCTCCATCAGTGGGTAGATTTTACTCAAACGTCTTTTTATTACTCTTATCTGTTAGTATCTATATGATTATTAAAACTACACAAATCTTTTCTTGTACTTATTACTTGCGTACATCTAACAAAGAAAATGTAACTATCCATTGGCAGATTTGGAGAAAAACATTGTGTTGGTAGCGCTCCAATGAATAACAATAACATGAACAAGTAATTGTCTAGGTTCTAACTTCCAATTTAATATGATGTATAGAAGACCTAAAATGATATATGTGAATGTTTTACAAAACAATCATGTCACGTGATGACGTTGGTATTTAAACCCTGTGCTAACTGGACATTGGCAGTTGATATCAGTACACAGTCGACTACGGATGGCAGCAAGCACACATCACAATTTCAGCAGAAATTATAACCTATCTAGTTTCCATCTTGATTCCTCCATTCCACCAATTTAAAGTTCTATGAATCTTCTAAATGTATTGAATGACTAATGTTAATACATTTGTTTAGATTAGTGTCAGCTGAAGGACTTAAATTTTTATCAAATGTGTTACATAGATTCATACAACGAGATGAAAATGCTGAGTTTTGTTTTGGACAAAGATGAAAATTGTCTGTGGCCTTTTTTTGCAGCAAGGAAGGATACATTCCCAGTAATTACGTTGTGGAGGCTGGAAATGAACTGGAAAGGTTTGAGTGAGTATGGAATTCTCTTGTTGCAGAACATTCACTACAAAACCACACCTTTAGAACGCCTAAAATCCATTCCAACTGGATCGTGTTCAGTCTGGCATTTTCAGGAGGAGTTGGTAGCTCAGTGGCAGAGTGCATGCTTTGTATGTAGGATGTCCTGGGTTCAATTTTTAAATTCTCAGATTCCGCCCAGTGTTATTTAAAGGGCCACTTCACCGAAAAAAAATATTTTTTCTCACTTATCGTGGTCACTTATGTAGTAGAAATGTGAAAGAATTTTTGAAATTGGTGCCTTCTAGGCAGAGAAAGATTAAAATGTGTTTTTGGCTCATGTGGATGAAATACACCAAATCCCAGAATGCACTTGTTTCGCTGCTCTACGAGTCCACTCCCAAGCCACGCCTACCGGCTCGAGAGTGCAGGCAGAAGGGAAGGCTAGCTGCTAGCTAATTGACTGGAAAACAGAAGACACCGGTTAACAAAGTCTCCGTTACGAGTTTCTTGATAAAGTAATTTAAATACTAGCCTTGCGTTGTACCGGGATGTACATCCAACACAAGGAAAGGACATGTAGTTAGTTTCCATCGTTTTCCCGTTGAACATTTAGAGCAGTGCAAACAGTGGCTGCGGGCTATCAACCACCCCAAGTTCCGAGAATATTTGTAATTAGTAAAAGTATATACATTTCTTCATATTTCCCTGTACTCTTTTGTAAGTCAAAGTAATACATTATAAACTTTGAACTTTTATTGTTTTTAAACATAATATAAACAATTTCACACTCATAGCTCTTCCAGAGCTTCAGCAGTTTCTTGATAGCCACAGTATTGTCCGTCAGGAGCTGGAAATCTCTGTCTGATGTCCTGAACAACACAGGCAGGCAAAACAAGACGATATAGCCTTTCCCCAGTCTCTCTCCTTGCAGGACCCATTCCACGAAATGACGGTAGGCTGTTAGGCGATATTGTCTGAAAACAATAAGCACAACGTTAGCAACGCAAGCTATTTGCACCTACAATAGGCTAGCTAGCATGTAAATATAACCGATAGCTCAGCAAACTGACGTGAACAACAAATAAATACTCACTTATACTGAATCGTCCGTTTGTCCCTGCGGGCTTTGGCTGGCGTTTCCAATTGACCTTCGGAATCCTGAAATAAGTTTCAAAAACTTGTGTGGATCAAAGCTGGGGTGCTCTATTACGCATGCTGGCGGTCCCGTTTCTAATGCAGATTCAGTTATTTCTTCAAGAAGAAAATGGCATCGCTGAAATTCGCAACAGCAGCGGGACTCTATCTGTGTCTATAGGCGCACAGCGAGAGCACTGGCACCACCAGTCCGCCCCAGCTCGACTCTGTACGGGCTCTTCCTCATGACAGCCAGGCAAGCTTCGCTCCTCTGCAGCAGCAGCCTCTTGTTCCTCCGTCAACCGCAACTGTTTTTCGCTGTACTGCGGCTCGTACAGGCAGCCACGAACATCGGATTCGCGCAACAGATCTTCAAAATCCCTTTCTTCAATTTCGTCTTCAAAATTACATTCTGCCATTGTGTTTATTCTAAAACTCTCATTTCTCCACAACAAGCAAGATCGGGTTAGCTTAGCTACAAGATGGCTGACACTGTTTTGAGAATCTGTGACGAGGCCCCACCCTATATGGGCGGGTTGAAAAAAATGCGGAAGTAGCATCTACTTCTGTATGTAGTTTATAGCCTCTTCTAAAAAAATCCTCCAATGACGTAAAAATCGTCATTTTACGTCATTGGAGGATTTTATTCCTGACTTAAAATCAAGATATCTCTCTTATCAGATGGAGTTGAGAGGTGGCAGTAAGGTCATTGGAAAATACTACCATTTGTCTACCGATACAAAGCTAAATGCAAAATCGGTGAAGTGGCTCTTTAAACACAACTCTGATTTTGTGACTCATTTTAATACCCATTGAAGTGTTTTTCAACATGTCCATTTCACCTTCTCTATTTGCCACAGCTGGTACTGTAAGAACATGAACCGCAGCCAGGCAGAAAACCTGTTGAAAGCTGAGGTAATGTGGGGGAAAAAGCTTGGAGTATTTCACCTACACACAGCAGCCACTAAATAATATACAATGCATTGGAGTATTTCACATACACACAGCAGCCACTAAATAATATACAATACATTGGAGTATTTCACATACACACAGCAGCCACTAAATAATATACAATGCATTGGAGTATTTCACCTACAGACAGCAGCCACTAAATAATATACAATATATTGGAGTATTTCACATACACACAGCAGCCACTAAATAATATACAATGCATTGGAGTATTTCACATACACACAGCAGCCACTAAATAATATACAATGCATTGGAGTATTTCACCTACACACAGCAGCCACTAAATAATATACAATGCATTGAAGTATTTCACCTACAGACAGCAGCCACTAAATAATATACCATGCATTGGAGTATTTCACATACACACAGCAGCCACTAAATAATATACAATACATTGGAGTATTTCACATACACACAGCAGCCACTAAATAATATACAATGCATTGGAGTATTTCACATACACACAGCAGCCACTAAATAATATACAATGCATTGGAGTATTTCACATACACACAGCAGCCACTAAATAATATACAATGCATTGGAGTATTTCACATACACACAGCAGCCACTAAATAATATACAATGCATTGGAGTATTTCACCTACACACAGCAGCCACTAAATAATATACAATGCATTGGAGTATTTCACCTACACACAGCAGCCACTAAATAATATACAATGCATTGGAGTATTTCACAGACACACAGCAGCCACTAAATAATATACAATGCATTGGCAGCCACTAAATAATATACAATGCATTGGAGTATTTCACAGACACAGCAGCCACTAAATAATATACAATGCATTGGAGTATTTCACAGACACACAGCAGCCACTAAATAATATACAATGCATTGGAGTATTTCACAGACACACAGCAGCCACTAAATAATATACAATGCATTGGAGTATTTCACAGACACACAGCAGCCACTAAATAATATACAATGCATTGGAGTATTTCACAGACACACAGCAGCCACTAAATAATATACAATGCATTGGAGTATTTCACAGACACACAGCAGCCACTAAATAATATACAATGCATTGGAGTATTTCACCTACACACAGCAGCCACTAAATAATATACAATACATTGGAGTATTTCACCTACACACAGCAGCCACTAAATAATATACAATGCATTGGAGTATTTCACCTACACACAGCAGCCACTAAATAATATACAATGCATTGGAGTATTTCACCTACACACAGCAGCCACTAAATAATATACAATGCATTGGAGTATTTCACCTACACACAGCAGCCACTAAATAATATACAATGCATTGGAGTATTTCACCTACACACAGCAGCCACTAAATAATATACAATGCATTGGAGTATTTCACCTACACACAGCAGCCACTAAATTTACAATGCATTGAGTATTTCACCTACACACAGCAGCCACTAAATAATATACAATGCATTGAGTATTTCACCTACACACAGCAGCCACTAAATAATATACAATACATTGGAGTATTTCACCTACACACAGCAGCCACTAAATGCATTGAGTATTTCACCTACACACAGCCACTAAATAATATACAATGCATTGGAGTATTTCCACTAAATAATAATATACAATGCATTGGAGTATTTCACCTACACACAGCAGCCACTAAATAATATACAATGCATTGGATATTTCACCTACACACAGCAGCCACTAAATAAATAATATACAATGCATTGGAGTATTTCACCTACACACAGCAGCCACTAAATAATATACAATGCATTGGAGTATTTCACATGCAGCCACTAAATAATATACAATGCATTGGAGTATTTCACAAATAATATACACATTGGAGTATTTCACACACACAGCAGCCACTAAATAATATACAATGCATTGGAGTATTTCACCTACACACAGCAGCCACTAAATAATATACAATGCATTGGAGTATTTCACATACACACAGCAGCCACTAAATAATATACAATGCATTGGAGTATTTCACACACACAGCAGCCACTAAATAATATACAATGCATTGGAGTATTTCAAATAATACACACAGCAGCCACTAAATAATATACAATGCATTGGAGTATTTCACCTACACACAGCAGCCACTAAATAATATACAATGCATTGGAGTATTTCACAGACACACAGCAGCCACTAAATAATATACAATGCATTGGAGTATTTCACAGACACACAGCAGCCACTAAATAATATACAATGCATTGGAGCCACTATTTCACCTACACACAGCAGCAATGCATTGGAGTATTTCTAAATAATATACAATACATTGGAGTATTTCACCTACACACAGCAGCCACTAAATAATATACAATGCATTGGAGTATTTCACATACACACAGCAGCCACTAAATAATATAGAATACATTGGAGTATTTCACATACACACAGCAGCCACTAAATAATATACAATACATTGGAGTATTTCACCTACACACAGCAGCCACTAAATAATATACAATGCATTGGAGTATTTCACAGACACACAGCAGCCACTAAATAATATACAATGCATTGGAGTATTTCACAGACACACAGCAGCCACTAAATAATATACAATGCATTGGAGTATTTCACATACACACAGCAGCCACTAAATAATATAGAATACATTGATCATCATTGAGAATAACACTCAAATCATTTTAGTTGTGGGCCTCTGAGAGGTCTTTATTCTAACACAGAACTGAAAAGACATTGCAGTGGCACACTGATTTTACTGAATGACAATGCTACCTTTTGTACTACCTTTTGCATTGTTTGTAACGGAGGATTAAGACTAAAATATTATTTAAATTATTCTTTCCCCAGAACAAAGACGGTGGTTTTTTAGTACGAGACTCAAGCAAAGTTGGAAAATATACAGTTTCTGTGTTCACCAAAGCTGGGTATGTTATATTAAAGGTTAACAAATATACAGTTTCTGTGTTCACCAAAGCTGGCAATGTTATATTAAAGGTTAACAAATATACTGTTTCTGTGTTCACCAAAGCTGGGTATGTTATATTAAAGGTTAACAAATATACAGTTTCTCTTTTCACCAAAGCTGGGTATGTT